CCATTACTGCATGTAGGGTCTTCTCCGCATATTAGTATCAACAAGTGGGGGATACACGCCATACACTTCTTCAACAGCACAAATCTTCGCAAATAAAATTTTGCTATAAAATTATGACAGACGCGTTGGTAATTTTATTACTTTACTCCATTGCTTTTGACTACATTTCGAATTGATTTCATTAAATTTCAGTGAATCGCACTGAATAATTTAGTTATTAAATTAATTTATTTGATAAGAATAAGGGTGACAAACGAGCACTCACTTCTCCTGGTGCGTAGGTAATAGGTGCTGAGGTAAAAAATAAGTCAATCTCTGACGACTAAGGTAGAATCCTTCGTTACTCTAGTAAGTTATATTAGATTAAATATTATAAAAATACACAGATAAGTTGGTTATTTTACCATAACACTATACAGTCATTATTACTCACACAATTCCTATAGCAAAGCTTGTTTTGATAGCCCTTAAAAATGTATTAAATTTGATTACAAAGAGTAGCATATACCCCATTTCATTAAAAGATGGCTACAGGTGCATTGTTTATAGGATAAGGGTGACAAACGAGCACACAGTCCACTTGATGGTAAGTGGTTGCAGCGGCCCATAGACATCTACATCTATCCTCGATTACGAATCAAAATGTAGAGGCGTTGTCACCACCCGTAAGGACTAAGATTGAATGCCTCGTTTCCAGTAAAAAGCGTTTCCGGTTCTCAACACTCACAATACGGAACATAGAAGCGTTAAGCTGCTATTTTAACCTGGTATTCTGTGAGAGTGTGGTCCTTCCCCGGTCGAGCAGGCCCATTCGTGTTACAACTATACTATTAATATAGCTGCAGCATGGCTCTACCACGTAAGAAAATTAGCATTAAAACATCTGCAGTCTAAGAGGGAGAGCGGCTTTCCATAAACAACGTTTTTATTTATTTTATGCTTACACAAAGAAAGAAAGAAAACTATTTGACATCACAAAGAAAAAGATAAATAAAATAACACGAGATATAAAAAACTGGATTTGTGTAAAGTCAAATTAGGTACCTATTTCAGCTAACAGCTGCTGAGCTAGATGACAGCAGCGCTGGTTTTCAAATAGAGCCCAATATTGGCTTCACGGACGGTCATTACCTAAAGCTAAAACTTAAAGAAAAATATTCAGTGTGGGGACAAAGTCAGCATCATCATCATTCATCATCATCATCATCATTACAGCCCTTCACAAGTCCACTGCTGAACATAGGCCTCCCCCAAAGAATGCCACAAAGCACGGTCCTGAGCCACCTGCATCCATCGACCTCCTGCATGTCTTACCAGGTCGTCACTCCATCTCGTGGGGGGACGCCCTACACTTCGCCTACCGGTACGAGGCTGCCACTCAAGAACCTTTCTTCCCCTTCGGTTGTCGGTTCTTCGAGCTATATGGCCGGCCCACTGCCACTTCAGCTTACTAATCCGTTGGGCTATGTCGGTTATTCTGGTTCTACTGCGGATATCCTCATTCCTAAGTTTGTCACGCAGATAAACTCCAAGCATAGCCCTCTCCATAGCTCGCTGAGCGACCTTGAGCTTCCTCATACGGCCAGCAGTGAAGGACCACGTCTCAGTTCCGTAAGTCATCACTGGCAACACGCACTGGTTGTACAATTTCGTTTTAAGGTTTTGAGGTAAATCTGACGAGAAGATGTGTCGTAGCTTCCCGAACGCTGCCCAGGCGAGTTGAATCCGTCGATTGACCTCTCGGTCGAAGTTGGACTTACCTAGTCGGACTATTTGTCCCAGGTAAACATACTCGTCAACAACTTCGAGCTTAGTGCTCCCAACAACTACCGGCATAGGTGTGACATGGACATTATACATGATCTTCGTTTTGTCCATGTTCATCTTAAGACCTATCCGTTGGGAAACACTATTGAGGTCATTGAGCATAGTGCTTAGGCCCTCCAGCGATTCTGCCATAAGGACTATATCGTCGGCAAATCGAAGGTGAGTGATGTACTCGCCATTGATGTTGATACCGTATCCTTTCCAGTCCAGAAGCTTGAAAACGTCTTCCAATGCAGCGGTGAAGAGTTTCGGGGATATGACGTCACCCTGTCTTACACCTCTCTGCAATTGGATAGGTTTCGTACTCTGGTTCTGTACTCGGACAGCCATCGTAGCCCTACTGTACAAGCACTTCAACACTTCTATATACCGACAGTCAACTTGGCATCGCTGAAGGGACTGCAGCACCGCCCAAATTTCGACGGAATCAAAGGCTTTCTCATAGTCCACATACGCCAGACATAGTGGCAAATTGTACTCTTCGGACTTCTGTACAACTTGCCGAAGGGTATGTATGTGGTCTATGGTGCTAAAGCCCTTTCGGAAACCGGCTTGTTCGGGAGGCTGGAAGTCGTCAAGTCTGCGCGCGAGACGATTCGTAATGACTTTCGAAAACAGCACGTAGACGCGGCTCAGAAGGGAAATCGGTCTGTAGTTCTTCAAGAGAGCGTTGTCACCTTTCTTGAAGGACAAGACCGCCGCACTTCTGCTCCACGCCTCCGGTGTAATCAGCATAATAAGAGTTATTATTTGGAAATAATAATACATTGTTTAAGCAATCATAAACATACACTTACATATGAACCCATATATATCTATACATCCATACACACTTATATGTACACATACATGATCAAGTGCTCAACAGCTCAACAACATGAAATATATCGTCTAATCTTAAAAAAATAAACTAAACATTTGAATTAAATTGAAGACCAAGAAGATTTAACCACACCATCAACCAAAAGAAACGAAACAGAAAGTGATCTGAAAATTAGTGTGGAGATAAAAAATAAATAAATACAGTGAATCTTACAGTCATCATATCTTTTTAGTATTAAATGGAGGCCCTTTAAATTGTACACGTAAAAAAAGGAAAATTTGTCACCTTTATTGCAAAAAAGCATCATTTTTTGCAATAAAGGTGACAAACGAGCACACAGTCAACCTGACGGTAAATGGTTGCTGTGGTCCATAGACATCTATATCTATTTTTGATTAAAATTCAAAATGTGTCGGCACCCCTGATGACTAAGTAGGAATGCCACGTTACCAATAAAAATCCGGTTTTCTACATTAACCATGGAAAACACAGCAGCATTAAGCTACTAATTTACGCTGGTATTCTGTGAGAGCGTAGCCTATCCCCGGTCGAGCTGACCCATTTGTGATACAACCATAATATAGCTGCAGAATAACTACCACGTATAAACCATTTAGAAATCAGTCAATCAACGCCTTCGACAGTTGCCGTGTATTTAAATTGTATTTTATTTACTATCTAGTCAAGATTCGAAATTGACTCAGGACGTTTTTAAAAAGACTTTATTTTAAACTTATTACTATTAATGTGCGATACATTACTTATACTTATACTTAATCAATCCGCGATGGATTCTAACTTAAAACTACATGTCCGATACATGTGAGAGCTTAACTATGACTATCCTAATTCTTATTCTATATCTTTAAACTTAAGAGTAGTTATCAGTATTTACACGAAAGACCACCCGTCTTCCAGACGCAATTCAGCAGTCTACGCCCACGCTTACGCTTGAATTGTGATGGTCTCCGGTGCAGTTCTGGGAATACCGGGATGCGTAACTCTTCCCCCCTCAGATTCGAAATTACCGGGCGAAGTTTTCCGAGTCCGATAATTTCGATACAAATATTTTTTACAAAGGATTACAATTATTATAAATAAAATTACATATAAAATTAATGTCCCGATACTTATGTAAAAGTGAGCGAAGTGAAAGTGTCATAAATGTGAAATTTATGACACTTTCACTTTGCTCACTTTTTGCACTATCACTGGTTAATATGTGGCTTAACTGCTGTAGATTGGTCAGATCCACGTCATCCAGGTTTACTGCTGCTGGATTTGAAGATGTCTTCATTAACAGATGTGATGTTTCCGGAAGATTTATTATTGATAAGGGAGTTAACGGGTATCTGGGTTAACTGAAGTTTAGATTATAAAGGTTTACGGTCATATTTCATGCGCTTACACACCTCACAAGAGTATATGAATGTTGCTAAAATGCTACTGTTAGGTCCATATTGTTCCAGAAGTAAGTACGTTTTAAGTGTATTATTGTCTCTTATATACCTGTATGACATCTTTTACCAATTTGATATTTTTTTATTATTTCACGTTGTTCATTCTCATCCTCTACATAGACTACCCTTCGCTTGCATTCAAAGATCTTAACTGTGCCCTTTTTAAATAACTCAATTACCGCTTCTGAAAATTGTTTTCGATGTGCGTCGTTCTCGAAGTAAATGAATTGTTTTATTTTAGGTTTGATGTACTCCTTTAGGAATTGTTTTACTAGATCAGTAAAACAGAGATCAGATTTGTTTTTGTCTCGATAAATTTTTAACGGCTATTTCGTCTCTATACCACGTAAAAATAAATATTTGATGAGGCTTAGTATCTATGGCTTCCTCTAGAATTGGAATACCATCGGTATCTATTTCATGTGCTGAGTGTCTTGTAAAGGTATGTGAGTTATCAAATGTTTCGTGTGCTGAAATGGTACTACTTGTCGGTTATGGTATAGAATATGGTGATTTATTGCTCTTAGCGGACGGGATAGATAAGGTCCTCTCCGTATCCGATGATATTTCCATCCGACTTGTGTTCTTATTTTGTAATCTTTGAATTTCTTCGATTAAGCTGTCTATGTGTTCTTGCAGTTGTTCATCCTTATCCACGTTAACCTTCATTGATTTTCGTTCATCTCCCAGAGCGTTTACCTTAACACGGGTTAAGGCGTTCTTTGATAGAATTTAACCACGCCAAATGTCTATGATCCGTGAAAATGGTAAATTTTCGGCCATATAGGTAAGGTCTAAGTGTTTTTACGGCCCATACTATTGCCAACAGTTCCTTCTCGATAGTACTGTATCTGGTCTCTGCATCATTTAATGTTCTACTAGCTATTGTTTTAAAATACAGCTCCTAGAGCATAATTTGAGGCATCAATGGTGAGTACGAATGGTTTCGAAAAGTCCGGGAATTGGAGAATGGGTGCGTTTACCAAAAGTTCTTTGCATCTCTCGAAAGCGGCTACATATTTTTCTGTAATTTCAATTTTATTCCTTTTCTTGAGACAATCGGTGAGTGGTTGGGTAACTTTAGCGAAATCTTTAATTAATTTGCGATAATATCCTACTAGACCCAAAAATCTTTTGATGTCGGTGGCGGTTCTTGCTATCGGAAAATCTACTACAGCTTGGATTTTGTCATTATTTGGTTTGAGTTCGTTTTCTGTTATTGTGTGGCCTAAATAGAGGACTTCTTTTCTAAGAAATTCACATTTATCTAGGGTAACTTTGTGATTTGTTTCCCGTAGTCGATCGAATACCATTTTCAACTTTTCTATGTGCTCCTGTAGACTTGAAGAGTATACAATTATATCGTCGAGATATACTAAACTTGCAACCCTCTCAAAACGTTATCCATAGCATGCTGAAATGTGGCGGGGGTTGTCTTTAATCCGAACGGGAGGCGTGCAAATTCGTAATGGCCTGACTGAGTTGTAAATGCGGTTTTGTGTCTATCACTTTCCTCAACTTCTATTTGGTAATACCCACTTGCCAGGTCTAACGTTGTAAAATAAAATAGATTTCCCTAATTTATCAAACAGTTCTGAGATATTCGGCAATGGGTACTTATTATCTATAGTGATCTCGTTCAAACGCCTATAATCGATTACCATACGATATTTTCTTTCACCTGATGTATCGAGATGGGAACAGTATTCCATGTGAGGCCGAACCTGCGCCTTGTAAAGTTGCAGGCGGTGTGCCGGCATGAAATACTGTCCCACTCTACTGAGCACGCCAAGCTTTTTAGAGGCCAATTTGGCCTTCTCTTCCAAGTGACCACGAAACTGCACGTCACTCGATATGTCGACTCCGAGGATTCCGATACTGGCTGAGGCAAGAAGGGGAGTGCATTGAAACTGAGAAGATACGACTAGCGGTAAATACAAATAATACAGGCTTTGGCGACTCAGGATGTAAACACGAGCACACTTAAAAAGAAGTATAACTTCGCCTCCAGGTCCTTCAAAAAAGCTATTGCCAAGGCAAAGTCAGAGCACATAGGCAGAATTGGCGAGAAATTAGTTCGCCTTCCTTCGGGAACCCGTGCATTCTGTTCTCTCGCCAAGGTTGTCCAAGGGAATTTCTGTAAGCCATCACTACCATCTCTGCACAGGGAGGACGACTCACTGGCCCGAGACGCAAAAGACAAAGCCGACCTTTTAGGCTCCCTTTTTGCGTCCAACTCGACTCTTGATAATAGGGGAAACTCACACCGCCGACCATCTCGCGGTGTGAGTGCTCCATGCCGGATGTGCGGTTCTCACAGCGATCCAGCACTCCTCTCCCTGGACATCCAAAAGTCGAGTGGGCCTGACGGAATCCCCCCATTTGTGCTGAGGACGTGTGCTCCGGAGTTGGCACCGGTCCTACTGCGTCTTTTCCGGTACTCCTACTCCCAAGGCGTAGTCCCGAAATCATTGAAGACAACTTTTGTCCACCCGATCCCTAAAAAAGGTGACCGCTCAGACCCGTCCAACTATAGGCCTATCGCGATCACCTCCTTATTCTCCAAAATAATGGAATCCATTATTAACTGCCAGCTCATGCGGTACCTTGAGGATCACCAGCTGATTAGTGACCGCCAATACGGTTTTCGTCGGGGTCGATCAGCTGGTGATCTCCTGGTCTACCTGACCCATAGATGGGCAGAGGCAGTAGAGTCCAAGGGGGAGGCGTTGGCCGTTAGTTTGAACATTGCGAAGGCCTTCGATCGGGTTTGGCACAAAGCGCTTCTTTCGAAGCTCCCTTCGTATGGGCTTCCCGAGAAATTGTGCGATTGGATCACCAGCTTCCTTGCAGATCGGAGCATCAAGGTCGTTGTAGACGGTGCATGCTCCGACTACAAGCCCATTAATGCTGGTATTCCACAAGGCTGTGTGCTATCACCAACGCTGTTTCTTCTGCATATAAATCATATGTTGCTAACTGGTAACATTCATTGATATGCGGATGACAGCACTGGTGATGCTCTATACACCGTCCGTGCCAATATTTCTCAGGAAAACGTCGCCTAGTACCGGAACAAACTTGTGTCTGAAGTCGAGTCTTTGCTGAACAAAGTCTTGAATTGGGGGTGACTAAATCTAGTCCAGTTTAATCCTCAGAAGACACAAGTTTGCGCGTTTACCGAAAAAGAACCCCTTTGTCGCATCTCCTCAGTTTCAAGGCACTCCCCTTCTTGCCTCAGCCAGTATCGGTATCCTCAGAGTCGACATATCGAGTGACGTGCAGTTTCGTGGTCACTTGGAAGAGAAGGCCAAATTGGCCTCTAAAAAGCTTGGCGTGCTCAGCAGAATGGGACAGTATTTCATGCCGGCACACCGCCTGCAACTTTACAAGGCGCAGGTTCGGCCTCACATGGAATACTGTTCCCATTTCTGGGCAGGGGCTCCCCAGTGCCAGCTCCTTCCACTTGACCACATCTAGCGCAAAGCGGCTCGAATCGTCGACGACCGAGTCCTTTCCGATCGGCTCGATTCATTGGCACTGCGAAGAGATGTTGCATCCCTTTGCATTTTCTTTTGTATCTACCACGGTGTGTGCTCTGAGGAATTGTTCGGATTAATCCCAGCCGCCAAATTTCACGAACGCAAATTGCGGCAGAACTCCCGATACCATCCACATCATCTGGATGATTGGCGGTCCACCACTGTGCGATTTAGAAGATGTTTTCTTCCTCGCACGACTTCCTTGTGGAATCGATTACCATCAGCGATTTTTCCGAACCGATACGACTTAGGGACCTTCAAGAAAAGAGCCTACTCCTTTTTAAAAGGCCGGCAACGCATCTACAGTTCCCTCCCTGGTGTTGCAGTTGTTCATGGGTGGCGGTAGTCACTTACCATCAGGTGAGCCGCATGCTCGTTTGCCCCCTCTCCTATAAAAAAAAATATCTAGCGAAATTGTTTTATTTTAACTACCGACTTCAAAAAGAAGCCGGTACTCAATTCGACTGTATGTTTTTTTTATGTGTGTTACCTCATAACTTTTTTCTTAGGTGAACCAATTTTTTTTCTTTTTTTATTTGAAAGCTGGTGCTTTTCATGTGGTCCCGGATAAATTTGATCAAAGTCTGAGATGTTGTTTTTAGTTATTCTTAATAATTTATATTGAAGTCGGTTGTACAAAATTGTTTATTTTAAATTACAATCTATAAAAAAATATTTAATCGTCGGTAGTAAATGTTAATTTAAAATCAACGATCGCGCATTTTAAAATCACCAATCACTATTTTGACAATTATAATCGCTAAAACGACTTATGTTCGTTGTTCTTTTAATAATCACAAAATCTTACAAATTATTCTGAATAATTTCATTTCGTTAAAATACACGCATGTATATTTATATTTTTGTCCTTCTGGACATAACATTACAATAAAACTCATTAAGTGATTGTTACAAATTTCTCTACGGCGCGACGGACCACTTTTCGCCTTCATGAAATAAGATATGCGGAACAAACAGTGTTAATGTGATGATGCGGAAGTGCAAAAACGAAACGTATATTTGCTTACGGGTTTATAATTATTTTACGCTAATTTGACATTCTGATATAATTATTATTTGTCTTGTGCAAACTAGTATATTTGAGCTAATTTAATTTACATGGAATCACAATTTATTATTATGTTGTGTTATGTAGTATTTAAATTAGGTTCGTGATAATTTTAGATTTTAATTTGCAAGTTTTTAATTCGTATTAGGGCAATCCTGTAATGACAGTAGTAAGTGGATATAATAAATAAAGACCGGAGATCCGACGGTATGACATTGGTCCCTTGGGAGAGAGGTTTTTTTGTTTTTTTTTTATAGGATAATGGTGACAAACGAGCACACAGTCCACCTGATGGTAAGTGGTGTCTGTGGCCCATAGACATCTACATTTATCCTCGATTACGAACCAAAATGCAGATGCGTTGTCACCCGTGAGGACTACGGTGGAATGCCTCGTTTCCAGTAAAAAGCGTTTCCGGTTCTCAACACTCACCATACGAAACATAGCAGCGTTAAGCTGTTATTTTACGCTGGTATTCTGTGAGAGCGTGGTCCTTTCCCGGTCGAGCCGACCCATTCGTGCTACAACTATACTACTAATATAGCTGCAGCATAGCTCTACCACGTAACAAATTTAGCATTAAAACATCTGCAGTCTAAGAGGGAAAGCGGCTTTCCATAAACAACGTTTGTATTTATTTTATGCTTACACAAAGCATCATTTTTTTGCAATAAAGATGACAAACGAGCACACAGTCAACCTGACGGTATATGGTTGCTGTGGTCCATAGACATCTATATCTATTTTTGATTAAAATTCAAAATGTGTCTACACCCCTGATGACTAAGTAGGAATGCTACGTTACCAATGAAAAGGGTCTCCGGTTTTCTACATTAACCATGGAAAACACAGCAGCATTAAACTACTAATTTATAGCTGCAGCATGGCTCTACCACGTCTAATAAGGTAAAGCCCTAGTGTGGGATGCTACTTGCGTATACACTCTGACGGCCTCTCATCTCAGGGGTACCTCATTTAGAGGCAGGGCGGCATCAGAGGCAGCTGAATTGATTAAGTGGCGCAAATATGAGTCTCTGAAAGATGACTACATATTTGTGCCATTTGCTGTAGAGACTATCGGTCCGTCGTGTCCACGTGCGGTGAAGTTCCTAAAGGAACTCCATCCGCGGCTGGTCGCTGCTGCTGGTGATAAGAGGGCTGGCTCTTTTCTAAGTATAGCCATTTAGCGGGGAAACGCAGCCAGCGTTCTTATCACGATACCAAGTCCACGGAGTAGGACTATATGTTAATTAAGTTTCTAGTTTTACTTAACTTTTACCACTGGTTCGCCAAAAGAAACCTCTGTCCTGGGAAGAACCGGCAAGAAACCCAGCGGGAGGTTTTTTTTTAAAAAGCACAATTTACAATATAATATTCTATACAATTATTTTGAAATCATTTAGTACCAGCATGGTACTGATCACCACATTCCCAGAGGTTATTATCAGTCATGTACTAGTGTGGAGTGAAGTTATTATAATACAATAACGCTTAAATATAAGGGTTTGAAACCAACCAATTTGTTTGAAACGTTAAAAAAACCCATCACAAGCCTACAGAGAACTGGTAAATAGACTTGCAAAAAATTTATGAACGCATGTGCTCAAGACCGTGCTTTGTAGTAGTAGACATGTGATGGACTATAATAATGATGATCACGAATTTAGTATTTATTTTAACACACTCACACACACACATTTAA